TGAATTAAAGAAGAGTTATCTATAATTATAGTGTTAAGTATCACAATAATCATAAAGGAAAAGATTAATATGTTTGAGACATTTGAGCACAGAAATCTTTTAAATCACTGCAAGGCAAACTGAAACAGGAAAAGGAAAATGTGGCAAGAAACTTGTTTTATATATATATACACACATATATATGCCATATATATAAGCCATATATATATAAAAAACCATATATATGACCATGTATATTCTAATAAGTTAATAAAAAGTTAAAACCCCCAAATCCAAAAGGCAAACTGTAATAAACAGGTAATTTCCAGAACAAGACAAAAAAACATGATAAAAATATGAAAAGTTGTTCAACTTCACTGATGATAAGGATAACGCAAACTAAAATCTCAATGATAATAATTTTGGTTTTTATAAATTTGGCAAACATTGGTGATAATTTTAAGGGCTATTTGATGGGACAATGAAAATTTAAATTCTGTGAACCATTTTACCAGTATTTCCCTTCTAGCTATGAAGTTTAAGGAGATGCGTGTGTGTATGTTTGTGTATTTAGTACTGCCTATAAAAGAATAAAAATAATATTGAATATTAGTCAAGATGAACGCTGTGAATTGAAAAAAATCCTAGAAAAAAAATGGCAAGCTACATATAATATCACATATGTCAAAATAGTCATACAAAAATGAATGGAAACATAAACAGTTAATAGCAACAACAATGCTCTCTTAATAGAAACAAAGATGAGCTCTTTTTATCTCATAGCATTTTTTTTTGTTTTGTCTTGTTTTGTTTTGTTTTGTTTTGTTTGTTTTTGAGACAGAATCTCGCTCTGTCGCCCAGGCTGGAGTGCAGTGGCACCATCTCTGCTCACTGCAACCTCCATCTCCAGGGTTCAAGCGATTCTTCTGCCTCAGCTTCCCAAGTAGCTGGGACTACAGGCATCCACCACCACACCGGCTTTTTGTATTTTTAATGGAGACGGCGTTTCACCATATTGGCCAGGCTGGTCTGGAATTCCCGACCTCAGGTTATCCACCCGCCTTGACCTCCCAAAGTGCTGGGATTACAGGCATGAGCCACTGTGCCCGGCCTCTCATTGCATTTTTATACTGAAAAATAGTAGAGTGATATTTGGTACTAAAATATTGATTCAAATCAGTGCTTGCTGCTGTAAGTCCAAGTTTATTGTCCTTCTTTTAAAGATGAATAATATTCCTTCTAATACTTAATGTATTCTATTATAATGATACATCAGCATTTCAGGTAAGATATCAAAGCTAATGAAAATAAATTTCAAAAAAGTATCAACTATGAATTTACACCATTTTCATTTTTTCTAAATTTGATGAAATTATAATTATCTTTAAATTTATAGATTCTCTTATTCTCTTCTGAGAGGTACACATAAAAATATCCATGAAAATATACACATTTCTAAATATTCTCCATGATGGTACATATATTTATTTTTCAAAATTTGTATTATTGATTTCTGACACAATACAGAGTTCTTTTATGAAATGTCATTGATATTTTCTTCATTGCTAATTCTTTATTCATAAAATTAGTCATCTTTTATCATTTGCTTTTCAAATTTATTTATTCCATAATACAGCCCAATTTCAAGATTTGAGGGATGATATTTCTTCCTTTGTTGTACATACCAGAAATAGTCAATTGGCATATAACCACCTTCCCCACCCTCTTCTCTGCCTCTTCTTGAACTGCAGAGAAAAGTATATTTCAAAGATTCGCCTCACCTTTAGCTAGGATTTTGCATGTGGATAGGTTTTAGCCAGTATGCTGGTGCAGATACTGCATAGGCTAAGAAAAGCAAGGACAACTTCTTGTTATTTTATTTTATTTGTTTGTTTATTTATTTATTTTTCTTTTTTTAGCAACCAAGGTCAACACAATGTTTGTCTGTACTTGTGGCATACTCAGCATTTGCATCTGGTCGCCAGTTTTTCCTGTATTAACAGGCAGTGCTATGGCAGCAGCTACAGTCTCCTGATTTCTGGATTGCAGCTGTAACAGTTGTCCTTAAATTCTTTAAAGTAGTGGTAGCCCCAGACTCCTATTCTTCTATGTCTTTTGGAAGTATTGAGTTTTCTGTATTAAATTCTTTTATTTTAAATTCTCACAATACCTGGAATGATTTTTCCTTCACTAAATATTAACATCTAGAGTATTTCGTATCCAAAATAGTGGAGCATAGGCTGGGGTCAAAATAATACATAAAATATGTGATACTGGCTAAGAAAGTGATTGGAATATTTATGTGTGTTACCTTCTCCTGATACTTTTAAGAAAGTAGGTAAGAGAAAGTCAGGAAAGTGTACCTGTACAAGCAGTAGTGGAAGAAATACAGCTAATCAAAGGAGACTTTTCTTTCACCTAACTTGACTGACAGGCTAGAAATTTCAGGGCTTAGAAGTTTGGATCAGTTAAACAACAAGAATAAGAGAAGCTCCCATTGAATGTCCTGTCAGAGACAAAATTGTGTTGTTCCTTGTGGTAGATGTATCTATTTCCCTGTGTCCTTTGTCATGTGATTTGATATCCCTCATGCTAAAGGTGGGCATGTTCTCCCATCATTTCCCCTTGGGCTTGGCAATGTGACCAGCTTTAGCCAATGAAATGTGGATAAAAGTGATAGTGGCCAAATTCGTAATTGCAAAAATATAGAATGAGCCCAAATGCTCATTAATCAATGAACAAATACAGAATCTGTGATTATATAAATGATGGAATACTACTTAGCCATGAAAAAAATAAATTAATGGCATTCACAGCAACCTGGATGGCATCAAAGACTATTATTCTAAGTGAAGTAATTTAGGAATGGAAAATCAAATATCATATGTTCTCACTCGTAAGTAGAAGATAAGCTATGAAGATGTGAAGGCATAAAAATGATACCATGGACTTTGGTGACTTGGGAGGAAAGGGCGGGATGTGGGTGAAGGATAAAAGACTACAAATTGGGTTCAGTGTACACTGCTTGGGTGATGGGTGCACCAAAATCTTACAAATCATCACTGAAGAATTTACTCATGTAACCAAATACCACCTGTTCTCAACAACCTATGGAAATAAAAATTAAAATTAAAATTAAAAAATAAAGACTGTGGTAGGGCCTGTAGGTGAAATGAAGATAAATAAGATCTGTGCTATGAATGAAGCTGTGACTACAAATTCCTATAACTAGAAGACACAAAGGAATATATAATATATATATATAATATATTTTATATATATATATAATATTCTGCCAAAAAAAAAGTGATAGTGGCTAGATCTGAGCATAAGCCTTGAGAAGCACAACAAATTTTTGAGGCTGTCTTCTGCACGTCCCATTAGGGGAACCTCAGCTAACATGCTACTCAAAGAGAATGAAATAAACATGGCCTCAACCCCATAGCTTAGATTTAAGTCATCCAGCTGAATACAGCCTAGATCAGCTAAAGCTCAGCCAGTAATAGACACGTGAGTGAATGAACGCTTCCTGTTGTATGCCACTGAGATTTTGTGATTGCTGGCAACTAGAGACTGATTAACCTCCATACCTAAGCCTACTGCTTCACATTGCTTCACAAAAGCCATCATTCAACAGAGAAAGACACAAGTGAGTTAAGCAGAGAGAACAGTTAGTAAATGTGCTCAGAATCATGACCAGAAAAGATAATGGCCATTTTAACTTTCACATAAAAGTGTCTGGGGATAAACAGACCAAAACTCTAGTAAGTTTTGAGGAAATTACTTTACCAATGCCAACTACAAGCCTGGCCTTCAAAGCCATGTAATTATTACATGAATAAAGCAACCTGCTTATCTCCCAAAGGCATGTGCAGAAAGTAGGCTGGGAGGCCGGGCACAGGGGCTTACGCCTGGAATCCCAGCACTTTGGGAGGTCGAAGCGGGTGGATCACGAGGTCAGGAGATGGAGAGCATCCTGGCTAACATGGTGAAACCTCGTGTCTACTAAAAAAATACAAAAAATTAGCCGGGCGTGGTGGCGGGCGCCTGTAGTCCCAGCTACTCGGGAGGCTGAGGCAGGAGAATGGTGCAAACCCGGGAGGTGGAGCTTGCAGTGAGCCGAGATCGCGCCACTGCACTCCAGTCTGGGCGACAGAGAGAGACTCCGTCTCAAAAAGAAAAGAAAGAAAGTAGGCTGGGAATGCTGGGCAGAACCCAGGAAGAGCATTTTCTCTAACACCAATTTCAGACATAGCCACAGATAATAATAGACAAGAATCCCCAAGAGGGCAAAGCTGAGAGCAATGAGGATTTTTGGACAAAGAAATTCCTCCCAGAAAGCACAACCAGCATTCGATCAAGGAATTTAGACCAAGGCAGAGGTTTTTCACCCTTCCTTGCCAGCAGAGTTTTTTCATTGCTGTAAACTATGAGTACTGACTGGGCATCACATCTCACACCTGTAATCCCAGCACTTTGGGAGGCCAAGGCAGGAGGATTGCTTGAACCTCGAAGTTCAAGATGAGCCTAGGTCACATAGCAAGACCCCATTTCTTAAAAAAAAAAGAAAAGAAAAATTAACGAAGTTGGCCAGTCATAGTGGCATGCACAGTAGTCCTAGCTACTCAAGAGGTTGAGGCAAGAGGATTTTTGAAAACCTGTGACTCCTCTGTGGTGTGCTTCTAATTCTTCCTTTTATTTATGGGGCGAGTTTAAAGCAACTATCTGTTGCATACTGGGTATGTGTGAGGAGTGGGAACAGATATAGTTTATATCCCATTAGTAAACCAGGAGCCAAACCTGGAGCGTATAGAAAGGATTGCACATCACTCAGAGATCCTAAATTTCTGGTTGCGTATTGTAGCTGAATGGAATTTGGGATAGTATCCTTAGGGAAGCGGTCAGTGAGGGAAAGAAGTTATCATCAAACGAAATGTGTGTGGAAATAAGGTATACAAATCCATGTGACTTATCTGGAAACATATGCTTGACATCCATTTTCTCTTTTCCCCTTTGTATAGGATGGAACACCAGGCTATAGTTTCAGGAAGCCAGCCTTGACCTTGCAATAAATAGCACCCCCTTCAGAATTGGTAAAGCAATGAGAAAGAATTGCCCAGAACTTCATGGAGCTGAGTCATTCACCCATCCTGGAACATCCACCTTCCTCTGGAATTGTTTTTTTAATGTATTTTCTTCTTGTTTAATCCACTAATTCTCTCTCTTTTCCTCTCTTTCTCTCTCTCTCATCTCTGTTTCTTTCCACAGCAACATAGACTATATATGATTATATATTTGAGTATATTTAATTTTAAAAGTACATACACAAATATTTAAAGAACTGCTCAATCAGAAAAAAATACACTTAATAAATAATTGTTCAACAATGGCCTTGATGTGCTATAATTTGTATTTCCACCAAATGAGTCCCAGTTACTTTTAATGTGTATTTTCCATGCTTGTTCACCTATTTCATTTTATACTAAATGTATATTAAATTTCCCTCTAATGTTTTGATTTTCTAACAAAATGTTGGTCATGTTTAGATGTTATCAAAATCAATAATTTTTTCTTTTCTTATCATAAGTCAGAGCAATCTTAATCTTACATTAGAATAATGGAACTCTTATTCCTAACACAAAGTTATGGCCTTTCTTCACTTTATTTTTGAAGCAGAACTTACAAACGGTGTTTTCGATAATGCTAGAAATTTGGAAAAGTGAGTCTTAGATAAATATATAATAATCTTAGGTTTAAATGTGAACTTTATTTTTTGTATTCATCTTTTCCTCCTTATTTCTTTTATAATTGTTTCTAGCTCAAGAAATCCTAAGTTACTTGCAGTTTCAGACCAAGATAGAGTAGATGGAAATTTCCCTACTCCTCCCTCTAATTACAGCTAAAAATCCAGGACGTTCTACATAAAACAATCATAAGAGGACTCTCAAAGTTGGAGGAACAAAACCTACCATTTGAGACCCTTTTACTCAAGGAATTATATGAGTTTCTTGATTTTGCTTTTTGCTTCATGTATCTCAGACTGTGTGATGGAGGAGTCAGCAATCTGGGAACAGCAACAATAACACACACAAAAAAACACCCCATGGAAAACCAGCTCTCTCAAGCCAAAGTACAGAAAAGAGGAAGGCCAGCAAAATGAAAAATTCTTAGATAATAGGTACCCCACTTCAGGCCAATACCACAAAAAAATAACAGCCCTGTCCCCACGCCCTTCAGCAAAGGCCATGCTGATAGCCAGGACTCCCATGACTAATCCCTTTTTCCCCAGTACCTCTCTCGCAGTAAATGGAACCACCAATAACCCACTTGCTCTAAAAACAATTTCCAGTATTTCAACAACCAAGTTCTGTCAGCTCTACTTCTCATATATCCTTCAACATGTCTCGTCTTCCAATATTGTTGCCACCACTAATACTCTCTTCCTTTAAATACAGAAGAAGCTTCATCGTTCTTTCTGCACTCTCCATTCACAATCTTACCCCAATCTAGTCTTCACTGCAGCCAGAGTAACCCTTCTAATGTGTGTATGTTATCCCTCCACTAAAAATCCTCCAATGGCTTCCCTGTGCCCAAAATACAAAGGTCACACTTCTCTGTATTCCCTTTGCTATTTTTTTGTCTAAATATAGAAAGAAATTAAACTTCTCTCTGAAATTTTTCATAAGCAAAAAAAAAAAAAAAAAGAACTCTCATTTCTTATTTTTTAACCTCCATTAAAGCCATCAATATTATGAGATGCTGTATTCACACTTAGGCACACTTTAGGAACTGTAGAAACAGAGGAACAAGTCATACTCTCTGATGTAATTTGAATATGAAATCTACACACTTTCTTTTTCTCCAAAGAGCAACAAATTAAACCAAAGTATTTTCCAGACATCACTGGGGATCCAATCCCCTACACTCCACATATATATTTATTTAATCTGACGACTATGTTTGCCAGACCTCGGATATAGTAACATCCCTAAATTGTATGCTTTCAGAAACCATTTTCACCAGATGAGAAGAAATTTCACAGCATTCTAAAGCTTCATCCAGAGTTAACTTTTCACAAACTATGTGTTTATTAACTCAGAAATTGTACATGTGAAGTTAGGCAATTGTTAACAAGTTGATGCTCTACTCTCTCTAAGCTTCCTTGTTACTCTTTAAGCAATTGCAATTCGGCAAGTAGAATATTAATTTCTATCCATGCAATCACCAAAAGTGAAAAATAAAAACTATTTCTCTATTTCTACAACACAGAATTATTGCCATTACGTGCAACTCTAAACACGCTCTCAGGTCTTAAATTAAAAGAACATGTCTGTCTTAACATCTATAGCGGTAAAATAATTTGTTCAGGCTACTTGCTACTAATCTCTAGGTGGAAACTTCTTACTTAATAATTTAATTTTTCCTGTTCAATGACAGCAGTGTTCACCAACACATACCTTACTTCCAAAGCTCACGGTATCCCATTTTCAAGGACTGAAATGAGTAGTCTTTCAAATATTTGATGAGCAGACAGAAGGAAACCCCCTTTTTTTCCTCTTGGTCAGTAAACAAACCCAGAGAGAATAGCTTTCCAGCATGTTGAAGATGCTCTGGCAGGTCATTAATCCCAGAAAAATCTCTCCAAACTTACTGATGCGTGGATTCCATTTTCAAATTTCTCATTAGTTCCTCTTTATGGATTAAATGCTGATGTTCACGAGTGAATGCACACAGCTTCAGCTGATGGATGTAATTGGGTTGTAATGGATTTTAGCTGCTGTTCCTTCTGATCTAGCCAATTTGAAATGCAGTATCAATGTATTCTCCCCATCTCTCGGTAGGGAATGAGAAATTGAAACCTACAAGATGAAATTTATCAACTTTCATAAAGTCAGCTTCAACCATCATAAAACTGTTAAACTTCTCATTATCATTCCACCACAGTTATTTCTCGAACTCTGGTTTGGCAGTGAAAGTATTAAAGTGTATTTGGAAGAAGTAGAGTTGATCCTTCAATATTCTGTGTGTCCTCAGCATTGATTTGGGTGCTGTAAATATTGCCAAGTGAAGATGACATTAACACAGCAAAATTTAACACCAGAAACATAAAATGACAAGAAAAGATTTAAAGGTTGCAAAACCTTCTGCAATTTTATATTTAAAGCATGATTTGCAGCTATACTAGGTTCGATAACAAAGATTACATGTTTCAACATCTCACAAATTGCTACTAAGCTGTTCTTTTGGTGTATTTTGGTGTCTCTTGGTACTGAAACATCTAGTGATGAATGGAAGACATGGTTTGGGGAGAGCCCCAAAAAGTTGTAAGCTGTCATAGTCACCCTTCATTTTCTACACTGTCATATGTATGTGAGCTTTCTAAGTCACAACAGTATTTTTCTTTGGTTCTATATTCATGAGCACTGTCACAGCAATGTCTAGAATTTAATTAACTTCAAATAGACTGAATTTTCCTTTTATTACTAACAGCATTAAGTTGAATATATGGGAAAATATCTATTTAAAATTTTCAGTGAAAGGTACCTAGGAAAAACAATTCTCCATTCCTAACAGCCTTTTAGATTAGTGCATAAATTCAAGGTTCTCATACAATTCTAAAGTTTACTTAATGCCAAGAACACTGTAAAACACCACTAGACATGTACACACCCCTTATATTTTATTCTACGGAGACAACTTACCACTGCTAAAATTAGAGAACACAGGATAGCTAAAATGATAGAGCAACATATATTATCTAGTTCTTGTAAATTGTGTCTGAATTTACACAACATTTTCTTTATATTACACATTTTACAAATATATAAGAGGGCAACTATACTTAGGACTCATAGAAGTTAGCCAGCTTAGGTAACATACTTAGGAGGAAATGAAAAGGATTAATGTCTTATTTGCTTTTCATGAATAATATTAAGCAGCACATACATTTCATTTAGCATCCTCAAATCACTTGACAAACATTAAGTAATTAATTAATTAAACAGAAGACCACGATGAGCTTAATTAGAACCCATCCTCTCCTCCTCCGCAAGGACACACAATGCTTCTTGGTTCAAGCAGGTTTTGAAAAAACAAGAATAACCTTTCTTATGATATTTGACTGCCAGTTTGAGCCCGGAAAGTACCTGGGTGCATGACAATTAGATGTTTTTAAAAAGGTCAGTTGGATTTTGTGTAACCTCCAAAATGAGAGGTTAATATTTTATCTCCTCCAACCCCCTGGAATTGCTTTTCATGCTCACACACACACACCAATAAACAACTGGCTTAATGTTCCAAACAAAAATTCTCCCTCCTACTTGAAAGACTATGCCCAGGACCAAATTTATGGCAAATGATATTCCATTAACATGCAACAAAACCTGCAAAGGAAGATACCATTTCAAAGAAAAAATGATTTTATTTACTCCTGTAAATTAATATTAAAATCAGCACTTACTATCTACAAAGATAATCTCTTTCTGACCCATAGGAGAAAAACTGACTCAGAGCAGTAACCAATTTTGTTTGTCTGCAAAGGCCCACCCATTGACACAAAGTAAAATTTAAGTTATTTACCACTCATTGTTTTTATTTGTACCTGACCTAAAGATTTAAAATAGAATAATTTTTCTTAATGGGATGACTGTCATTTCAAACATAACCAAGTTCAGAGGGAAAAAAAATGATATACGAATTTTCATGGCCATCGTACAAACCTTATATTGCGAACTTATATTGCAGACTGCCCTAATGTCATGTACACTCCTCAAGGTGACTCACTGAAGAAGTATAACAAGAAAGGTGACCCCAGTAACACTGTCTTCTCTTTGCTTTGGAACTTTCCTTCTTAGCAACAAAAGACTTTCAAAGAGAGGAAGGCACAGTGGGTCTATGACGCACTTAACAAATACTCTTCATTTCAATCATAATTCAAAGAAACTTTTGAAATTGTCTTTTTGAACAGTATTTGTACTACTAAAAAAATCTTAAATTCAATACTAAATACTCAGCAACTATTTTTCATTAAAAATAATATTAGGGATCACTGATGCCATTATTTATACGTGGTAAAAAAGTTTTGGGTATTTCTGAAAATCAACTCGCTTGCTCAAAAGGTGAAGATTTGCTATCCTTAGGTTGAAATAATTTTTTAAAGTGTGCTCATTGCTCTGAGAACAATTTCAAAAAAGAGATTTCCAAAACAAAATATTGTGAATTTAGATAGGCTTACATTTTGGTAATTTTATTAAAAAGGAATCTAAATCATTTTAGAGAAATTTCATACACACCTTCTCTAATGTTGTCTTTCCTTAAGAAAAAAGTAATACAATTTTATCTCTCCAGCTGATCCTCTATATTTGGAAAATTGTTTCTATCGTATGTAATTCCCTTTTTTATCTCCGAGATACTAAGATTTGTTTCACACATCTGGCTCCATACACAATGCTGCAGGTGAAGTAAAGGATCACTTACCTCAAATCTCATCATAGTGATACCTGCGTCATTTGGAGGAGATGAGGACAGACCTATTACCTTCCAT